CACTTCCTCTCCATCCTGCAGGAGCAGTTCGGCAGCATGGCCGGGGCCAACACGTACCTCACCCCGCCGGGCACGCAGGGCTTCGCCCCCCACTACGATGACATCGAGGCCTTCGTGCTGCAGCTGGAGGGGAAGAAGCACTGGCGTGTGTACAGCCCCCGGACGGACGCCGAGGTGCTGCCCCGGTTCTCCAGCCCGAACCTCACGCAGGCCGAGCTCGGCGAGCCGGTGCTGGAGACGGTGCTGGAGGCCGGGGACCTGCTGTACTTCCCCCGAGGCTTTATCCACCAGGGTGACTGTCTCCCTGATGCACACTCGCTCCACATCACTGTCTCTTCCTACCAGAGGAATTCCTGGGGGGACTTTCTGGAGAAGCTCCTGCCAGCTGCCCTGCAGATGGCCCTGGAGGAGGATGTGGAATACCGACGAGGGCTTCCCATGGACTACCTGGGGTACATGGGGGTTGCCAACTCAGACACCGCCGACGCTCGCAGAACAGCCTTTATGGAGAAGGTGCAGAACCTGATAAAGAAACTCGTCGACTATGCACCCATTGATGCTGCCGTGGATCAGAGAGCCAAGTCATTTCTTCATGACTGTCTCCCCCCTGTGCTGACACAGAGTGAAAAAGCACAGAGTGTCTACGGCTTCCCTGCCCAGTGGCGAGATGGAGGCCCCTGCAATGTTGATATACTGCTAACAAAAGACACTGAAGTACGTCTCCTCCGCCATGGCGTCCTCAGGTTGTGTAATGAAGAAGCAGGACTGATGCTGTACTACACAACAGAAAACTCAAGAGTGTATCACAAGGAAGAACCCAAGTTCATTGAGCTAGATCCTGAGTATACAGACAGTATCGAATTTCTCCTGTCTTCCTATCCAAATCATGTCAGCGTGGGTAGCCTACCATGTGAAACCTTGGAGGAAAAGATTTCTCTAGCCACGCTCCTGTTTGAGAAGGGCATTCTGACTACAAAAAAGCCTCTGGTGCAAGTGTAACTCTTATTTTTAAACAAAATAAACATACTTTTTTAAGAAAGTGTTCTGTCTTGGTCTCTCCTGGGTCCTTGAGCAACGGCAGTCCCATGGATGGGTTTGCCTTTGCTTGAGTCAGGACTAATCCAGACAGTCTTCCCTAGCAGGGCCAGCTCGATTGGTAGAACCTCTAGTATTAATTAACCAGGTGGCCTGGTCCAGGTGGCCTTCACTAAATGTACTGTCCACTGGGGCTGGGACCTCCAGACTGGTGTCTGGGCCTCAAACTGGGATCTGGGTCCCCCAAACTAGGCTCTGAGGCCTTTCAAACTGGTGTCTGGGCCTGTCAAATATGGCTCTGGGAGCCTCAAACTGGGATCTGCTCCCTCCAACCTGGTATTTGGATCCTCCAACAGGGATCGTCCGCAAGATGTCAAGTGTAACATGGTGCAGAGAGCTGAGAAGGAATGTTCTGAGCATCAGAGTGCGTGTGCCGTTTACAGGCTGCAAGGGGAAAGAGAATGCCAGTGCTAGGCCTTTGTTTTCAGCCCTTTTGTTGGAGCAGGTGCTGGGTGTTTTAAGGTTTGAACCTGTGATCTGCTAGAGTGCAGTAATGTGCTTGCATATATATCTAACAAGGTACATTCCTAGTCCCAGTGTGTTATGTGTAGTTGTCCCAGCACGTTTTTCTCTGTGAGAGGTGCACACAGAGAACAGTGCTCTGAGCAATCCTTCCCAACCAGAAGTACCTAGTTGCACATTAACTCTCTCAGACTTTGATACACCACTGGCAGAGGAAAATGTTCTGGGACAAAACTAGTTGCTGGATTACCCCTCGGCCTAGCCACTTTTCAGCTACTCACCATCCGCTGTGGGTAAAGGCGTTTTTCTCTGTGAGAGGTGCACACAGAGAACAGTGCTCTGAGCAATCCTTCCCAACCAGAAGTACCTAGTTGCACATTAACTCTCTCAGACTTTGATACACCACTGGCAGAGGAAAATGTTCTGGGACAAAACTAGTTGCTGGATTACCCCTCGGCCTAGCCACTTTTCAGCTACTCACCATCCGCTGTGGGTAAAGGCTTCCAAGACCTGGGTGTTTTAAGGTTTGAACCTGTGATCTGCTAGAGTGCAGTAATGTGCTTGCATATATATCTAACAAGGTACATTCCTAGTCCCAGTGTGTTATGTGTAGTTGTCCCAGCACGTTTTTCTCTGTGAGAGGTGCACACAGAGAACAGTGCTCTGAGCAATCCTTCCCAACCAGAAGTACCTAGTTGCACATTAACTCTCTCAGACTTTGATACACCACTGGCAGAGGAAAATGTTCTGGGACAAAACTAGTTGCTGGATTACCCCTCGGCCTAGCCACTTTTCAGCTACTCACCATCCGCTGTGGGTAAAGGCTTAGCTTCCAAGACCAGTAACAACCAGAGACCCCAGAATACAGCCACTGCCAGTACTTTCAGAAAGCATCAAGCTGTTCCCAATCACTCCTAGGGTGATCCTAGCTGCTCCCAGTACAACCCCACTCACTACCAGTATGAACCCAGTCTATACAGAAATGATTCCAGATACTGCCCAGTGGTTTCCACTTGCCACCAGCTTAGGCCCAGCTACACATGGTCACTTCCAGTTTATTCCCCAGGATTTCATTTGCTCACAGCCACTCCCAGGTACACGCACACTGTGCCAAGGAGCTGCCAGCATGCTCCCAATCATTCACAGTCGCTCCAAATGCTTCCAGCACCTACCTTCTATTTCAAAATTATTCTTTTGTGTTCTTCAGCCAAAGATATTCTGGTATAAAACCAAAATGGATCTCTCTGGGGATGCCAAATTCTGTATGTTGAGTGTGTTGACCCTGGAGATCCGGAAAACCATTCTGTTCGATGGTGGCTGTTACACCTGTACAGCTGTTAATGAGTGTGGTGAAGCTGAAATAGAGTGCAGACTGGATGTCAGAGGCAAGCAGATAAATCCTACGGGTAACACTAATACTGCAGTGGAGTAATAGATAGCTCAAAGAAAATTAAATCATAGTTTATCTAACCCTGACTTCTTGGGTAGTATATAAAAAAACTGTTAATCAAATGCACCAGCAAGATTTTTTTTTTATTCTAAACTTTTTATGATTCAGTGAGGTTACTTGCTAGGTAATACAGGTCTGAAGGTGGACAATTATTGCACTTTTCACTTAATATTTCTAGAAAAGATCCTTAGCACTGGAATGGAGGTCTATCTACAAGCATTGGTTGAGGATCATTTTTTGCACCATACTCTGTAATTCAAAGTTTTAAATTGTCATTATATTGCACATATGTAAAAGGTAGTGCATGCTACATTCCAAACATTTTTAGAACATCAGCAATTTACTTTGTCAAAAGGAGCAGGAACATGTTTATAACACAGTAAGAAATATCAACTAATTATTTTTGGTAAAGCTGCCAGTAATGTAAATATTTGCCAATACAAATGTTTATAGCACCACTTTAAGTGCTCAAAATCGGCAAAAATCAGCAAAAGTTGTGAAAGTGACCTACATAGTAGTCATTGATCA